AATGATGAACTTGCTTCCTTCGAAGTTACTACAAATTACTGAGTGTACTTAAATTTGTTATTTATATTCGAATTACCACGAGATTTTCATGTGATCGAGCATTTGCTCCGAATCACTAAAAGTTTCAAATTATTGAAGTTTTGAATTACCAAGAATTGATTATATACCACATTTAAGTAGCAAATATTTGTYTTATTTATATATTTGTTTGTTTGGTTTTTGATTTATTTTATTTTAATTATAATATAATTATATCGTTATATGGTCACTATTCATTTTTTTAGTGGCATAAAATTTACTTCAAGTATACTGTATCATGAAATAATATTATGTAGATTATATATGTACACATTATTAACGATTCACTAAATTTAATAAATAAATAAAACCAAAATTCACGAACAACAAAAAAAGTTTTTTTAGGTTTACCTGTATTGTTCTTTATCGCCTCTTGCTCATCCATTACTAAGAATTCAAAACATTTATGTATTCAAGCGACTGATAACTGTCCTAATGAATATATTAAATTTTATTTGTATACAAAGTACGTAAGTTTATCWATCTTAATTAAATCACACGCGTGTAATGTGAAAATTATATTAATTTATTTTATGTTCAAAGTGAAAATAACACTATTGAGTTAACGGAAGACTCAATCAAAAATATTACGTTCGCATCGACTAATGTTTTAAAAGTTCTAATACACGGAGTCAAAGGGTCGAAAGACGATGACTTTAATGCGGTAATTAGAAAAGGTGAGTCAAGTCTATCATAGGTTAGGTTGAGAAAAATTACAAATTGAGAAAAATTTCTCAATGACGTGATCGCGTACAGTATAATATACTAGAATGTGCTAACGAAATTTAAAGTCAATAGTAATCTTTTGATTAGATAGTTATAATTAATGAARCGCGTATTCAACATTTAGCTCATATAAACATTATTTGTCCAGCTTATTTCTCACAGGCAGAGTATAACATAATCACGATTGATTATTACCCTCTTGCGACTTCTTTGAAATGTTACGATGTTGCTGTTCAGAATCTGCCAGTCATCGCCAAATGTTTAACACAATTTCTGGTTGCGATCCTCGATGAATACGATCAATTTGAATACGTACACGCCATTGGATTCAGCTTGGGAGGTCAAATCGCTGGTCTCGTGGGGAAACTGTTGAAGGAGAAAGGGAAAATCCTGGACAGAGCTACGGGTAAGCCAAAATCACGTCAACCATAATATATGTCTATGCTAGTTTATCACGTGGTTCGAAAAATATACAAGGTAGTTCACCAAGTACGCTTAAACAAATTTGATTTTTAATTTTTAATTTATTCAAAATTCAGATTGTGACGCCATTTAAGGAGTATCTCATATACTCATAATACGGTAGTTACATACAAAAAATATGTGTGTTCAATAAAAAGGGGATATGGCGAACCAAAAATTGAATTATTGTGTATGACTTATTAATTTTGAAGATAAAGTTTCATTCTGTTTTTGACTGATGATGACTGATAYTGTATGTAACTTCTTGTATTTATATATATTTTTTATTATTATAATTGCTTTTATTTACCGTWAATTATGGATCATCATATGAATAATATTTGGGCTATTACTTTATTTCATGGCTTATACTCAACTTGTAAATTCTAAGTATTCAAAAATTATATAATTAATGGTTAAGAATTCATAACATTTTTATTCAAATATAATATTACATTTAATTCATACACAGATAAATTTAAGGTGAACATATTAGAGAATCAACCCGAGTGTAAATACTTACATATTATGACCAGTTAAAATAGTATGACCAAACATATTTTTTTATTAATAGTATTAAGTTAATATCATAATAATACACTAGTATACGACTATCGATTAAAATAACTGATTCGTTATAAAACCGATCGTCACAAGATTTATTTGACAAACAGGCCTTGATCCAGCACTACCCCATTTTGAACATTTATGGAACTTATTGGACGCAGAAAGTGCGACCGTAGTCGACATCATACATACGAATTGCGGTCTTCTCGGACAAATGTTGCCRATTGGTACAGTTGATTTTTACGCCAATGGTGGAATCACACAGCCCAGATGTGATAAGTCTAATGATGACTTGAATAAGTATAATAGTGAGTATTGTATTCATATATCGTTTGTTAACAAGCCATTTTTTCTTTAAAATTTTTTMCATAATTTAATCACAACTATTTGACAGTAAAATAATACGTTTATTTAGCTGGTGTGGTTGGACCAATTAATAATATTGTAATATTAGTATAAAAAAATTAAAACCGTGACTATTGGTTATACCTTTAAAATAGTTCGATTGGCACTGACTGAATTATTGACAATCAAAATTAAAATGAATTGAACCGATAATTAGATAAATATATGAAAAAAATATCATCAATTTATTGTATGCATTTCTCAAATTCCAGTTTACCGAGCTTTCCAAGAAAATTAAGTTGCATAAWATTTTGTTAAGATTTTAATTTGTCAGTAAAAAGAGTGATGATGATATAGTCAAGTTGAAGTGATTATTAATTATACATTTTAGATTCTAGATTCTGAACGGAGTGATGAATGTATTGATTTTACAATTATGTGTGTGTTTTTTTTTGTGTGTCTGTGTACAGCATAACTAGTCGAAATAATGCTTCAATTTCAAACTTTGGGGGTGGTTTTGATGGAAAAGTAAATATCCTTGGTACATTATAGAGGTCAAAAGTTAACATTTTAAAAAAATCGAGAAAAACAAAAAAATGACAGGAAAACGGGAATTTTTATGCACACTCATTTTTCGACAAAACCGATTTTGGTTTTTKATGTAACTTTAAAACAAATGACCATAAATACATACAATTTTCACCGAATGTTTATATAAGTATATTCTATT